CCCACCCCCCCCCCCCCCCACCCTTTTTTTCCCCTTTCATTTCCGTCAAACAGAAAACCGGTTGTGCCCCCCCCCCCCCCCTCCCGTCTTTGCCTCTTTCGTGTGTGCTTCCGCTAAGCACGCTTAACGAGGCCGGGTTCGTGAAAGGCAGCGGCTCGACCTAACGAAAGTAAAATACACAATGGACTCGGAGAAAAAACTGGCTTACGATAGCCAGACAATCCGCCTGCGCTACTACATAGCAGAGCGGCGCCGCAACCAAAGAACGGTCGTATGTAAAACAAAGAAACGCTCTCTCAGCCTCTTGATCCGATCCACGCACCCTTCTCCACACATCTTCAAAGGGATGCGCGGCCCGTGGTCGAACAGCGTTCAGGCAAGCACAACGGACGAGTAAGAAAACCACCCAAAACAAGCACGTGCACCTGACTACACCACCAAACTCGCTCCCATCGCCTCTCTGGGGGTCCCAGAAGAGTGTACCATCCCTCTGCCGTAGTGCGGTGAATGATTTTCTTGTCCTCGCCCATATATCAAACCAGAAGTAGGAGGTTTGCCCCAGGAGGGGAATCAAAATCACGGCAGTGACTCCCGATGGGGGTAAACTCATAAAAAAGAACAAGACACATCCGGGGGATGCTTCGAAATGCCCTCCACCACGGCACCCCCGGAGACACACAGCACCGCGCTCGTCGCAGACAAAACACACAACACAAGACGGCCACAGCAACAGCAACAACGACCACAACAACGACGATGACCATCACTTGGCGACAAACATCTCATCTCATACTTCGTAGACGTGTACTGCCCAAACCAGCCATTGATTTTCACCCAGAGACTCTCAATCCCACCCCGTGACCTTATCAGGCTTGTCGCCCTCCCACCTCGAGACAAGCAAAGAAAACGCAATGTACACAGATGACACTTTCGTCCCCAACAGCTCGAACTGGAGGTCGGAGGGGGCATTCCATTTCCCGAGGCACGAATAACCCTCTACAATTAAAACATCAACGTCACGGTTGCGAAACTTCGTCGTTCGTCGTCCCGCCGCCGAAGAAGTCGGCGGGAAAGGCGGACGGTCGATCGTCATCGCTGCTACCCTCGCGATCGTCGCCATCGTCCGAGGACGCCCCGAAGGAGATGATCACGGACCTACTCGCCCTCATGCCCCCCTTGTCCCCGCCGCCGCCCCCGTCCTCCCTGCCGGGCCCTCCGGGCCCTCCTCTGCTGCTATTGACCACCCACCTCCGCAACGACGGTGCCCGCGAGAGCGCGGCGGCCGCCCCGGCCTTGGAGTTTCTCGCGGGCGTCAAGATGCGAATTGGAGGTGGGCTCGAAGCGCGCGAGAACGCATCTCTGTCTTGGCCGTCGACGGAAGACACGGCGGGCGACATCGAGGCTTGCCGGCTGGCACTCGGGCGCGCCGACCATCGCCGCACCGACGGCTGTGTCTCCAATTTCGGCGTGACTTCAAGGAGCGGCGGCGAAGCCCCCGCTTCTGCTTCGAGGTGCCCCGCTAAGCTCCCGCTTCCTTCTCCCTCCTCAACCGCTTCCCCCCCCCCACCGCCTCTCGGCGTCACCAAAACGCCCTCCGTTCTTACACCGTTCTGCCCATCTGCCTGCCCTTTCCCCCGTCCCACCGGCGCCTTTGGAAGGCGACTTGATGTCCCCCGTCGCCGGAATGCCGCGAAGGCGGGGGAACTCAACGCTTCCACTTTCGCCTCTTCTTCTTCCGCTTCCTCTGCGTCGTCCTCCACCTCCGCCTTCTCGTCGTCACCATCCTCCATCTCCCCCTTCTCCTCGTCTACGACGCTGGAGGTACGCGAGGGCATCGCGGTAGAAGCGCTGACGGAGTTCACGTTCTTGCTGTTGGCGGCGCTGCCGGACAAGGTCCTGCTGTCGTCGCGACGAAGTAGTACCGGATGTGGCGCCGGCGACGACGACGGTGACCGTGGTGGTAACGGGGCGAAGAAGCCAGACTTGCTCGTGTCCTGGGAAGGTGTATCTAGGCCTTTCGTCTCGCCAAAACCGCCCTCTCTCGCCGCCGCTGCTGCTGCTGCTGCTGCGGCTGCGGCTGCCTCTTCTTTTTTTTTCCTGATTGGGTAGTGGAAGGGTTGGGTGTTGCTTGCGTTTGCGGAACATTCGTGTACGTGTGGCGACACCCGGAAAAGGACAACTGTAGCAAACGCCCGAACTCTCGATACTCCGTTATAGAATAAGACGAAACACCCACCCCTCCTTCGCTCTTGCCGCCGCTCTGTGCTAACCATGGCTGCCGCAATAACGGCCAATGCAACACCACCGAGTACACGACCAACAACTCGGGGAAGCGAGTGAGTGTTTTCCTAGTTGCTTGGCCCAGCATCTCTTTTCGTCTCCAAAAGAGTTGGCAGACAACCAAAAAAGAAAAAGCGCTGTCGCCTTAGGCAACTCGTGTACACTCGCATCCAGGGTTTTGGACGCCCGCGTGGAAACCAACAACGTCAGACAACACCCGATGTACCTCCCTGCCCCAGATACAGACAAAACAGACACCGAAAAGTACTGCTGTGGTTACACTGAGACTCCATCTATTGGGTACGACTACACGACCACGAGGCATGGGCGTTCGCGACACAATAGGAAGCCTGGACACGAGTTTTGTCCGTGGCGCGAGGAAACAATCGCAAGCACGTCCGACCTATGAAAGCCAGCTTCGCTCAAAACACGCCTCCTCGAATGTACCATCCTTTTTCATGTATCAGCATCACGGCCCTGCACGCCACGCGTCAAAGTCTGCATTTCGCCGTGCTGCGTTACCGCGGTATTCTTGTAGCACGAGAGAGCAAAGAGAAGAAGAAAGAGCAGGCATCTAGTAGACTGCACTCTCACGGCAGATCCACACCACAGTCAGAGGGCAAGCTGCGCGTCTTTCTTTTTTATCCGACTGCCGACCGTGCCGCGGGGGGAAAACACATACTTCCATGCACAATAGAAAGACACAAATCGCGCTCGAAGATCGCACGCGTTAAGGGCACACGGCAGTTTTCCTGGTCGCAGCAGCAGCAAGAATCAGACAGAAGCGCAACACGCCCTTCACGTCCACTCAGGCACGTGATCGATCTTCTGACTATCCCATCTCCACATGTACGGGGTACGACTACCTACCTACCAGTTGCCTTCCGCTGCTGTACTAATATACACGGTACGGGACAGTGCACGGTACGGGACAGGGGAGGGGGCGAACGAACGCACCTCTGCTCCACCTTGGCCCTGAACGCCTGTTGCAGGTACTCCACCGCATAGATCTGGTCAAGGGTGACCTTGGTGTTGGACACGGGATTGACCATGTAGTTGATCGCCTTCTTGCTGGACCCGCGCTTCACGAGCTTGAAGCTGCCGGCGATGCTGCGTCCCTGATGACGAGCACCCACGAAAGGTGGGTCGTTTGGGGGGGTGGGGGGGGGGGGGGGGGTGTACTCATAGTCGTGCATGCCGTAGTCGTTTGACCATTGACCTCGCATCCCTACAAAGCCGGGACGGAGCACGCCGGGTTCTCACCGGACCAGGCTCTCACATCACCAAGCGCGAAGCGCCGTGAGGTATTTGGCGAGTCGCATGAAGGGTGAGCTGCATCCTGCTAAGGGTGTTCGGCATCTTGTGCTTACTTCCTTGCGTACGGATGACAGCTACGTATGACTTAATTTATTTTCTGGTGCTTTCACTTCCAGAGACAGTTGTAAGCACTGTGTAACTGCCTCGAGGATGCTTGACCATTTTAACACAACGTGGTGCGATCATCCCCCGTTGCGCGGAGTGAGGTTTCTCGACCCCGCACAACATGATCTACTCGACCACCATTATGGTTACCGCCAAAAAAAAAAAACGAGGTAAAAAAAAAAAACGGTAACCTGGTTGCCGAGTTCACGAAGTGAATTGGCTTGTTTTACAACGTCGTTGCCAAGCGACGAAAACCCAATCCCGATGGCAAACACCGAGTGGGGGGCTTGTTTTACAACGTCGTTGCCAAGCGACGAAAACCCAAACCCCGATGGCAAACACCGGGGGGGGGCGGCTTGTTTTACAACGTCGTTGCCAAGCGACGAAAACCCAAACCCCGATGGCAAACACCGGGGTGGGGGGGGGGGGGGGCCACCTCTGGGCAAAAGGGGAACATCAAAAACGAACTGTCTCCCGATCATCAAAACAGGGGGGCCGCCCTCCCCCCCCCCAAAAACGGGGAATAACTAGGGGGGGGGGGCCCACCCGGGGGGCCGGGGGGGTGGCAAAACCCTTTTCTTGTACATGAACCCCCCGGAGAATTTAAAAAGATTTTTTCCGGGAAAAACCGGGCCCCAAAAACCAACAAAAAACGGGCTCTTTTCCTGGCCCGGGCGTATCCCGCTAAAATGAAACTATATTGACCAAAACCGAACGGAAAAAAAAAGGTGGGAACCCTCCTGGGGACCCCAGCCCTCCCCCCAAACACGGGTTAACTGGGGACCCCCTCTGGACC